GTAGTAGTAGTAGTAGTGGTGGTACTTGTACTAGCACCAGTGCCAGTACTAGTACTAGTCCTAGTTCCTAGTTCCGAGTTCCTAGTAGTAGTACTCGTGTACTAGCAGTACTAGTAGTAGTACTCGTATTAGTAGTACTAGTAGTACTAGTAGTACTAGTAGTACTAGTAGTACTAGTAGTACTAGTAGTACTAGTAGTACTAGTAGTACTAGTAGTACTAGTAATAATAGTAGCAGCAGCTGCAGTATCATTTATAGTCGTGGTACTGCTGCTGCCGGTGCTAGTGAAACTCTGGTTCTATTGTGGTGGTGGTTGAAGATGCATGACGGAAGTACATTTCTGAATGCTGTCATGTTTTCAAATTGATCACATGGACTGCTGTGAAGATTACAATTGTGGTGAGTAGTGATCTTAATGTGAGCTGAATGGTAGCATGAATGCTCGTTGTATGATGTTTGTGATCGAAATTGGTTAAGTTCTCGGCCTAGAAGATCATTTTGAAGTGTCCAGTCGCATTTGGGGTCGTCCGGTTCTTCGGCCTCGCACAAGAAGGGCAAACATGTGCAACAAATCATTGTATTCGGCAGGCTTTTGATATATTCCAAGTTCGTGACACAAGCCGCCCAGGCAGAGAGGGGTGATCCTCTTTGGACAGCACTCATCGTGGATTACTTGGGCCATCAGTCACTCGATGTCCGCGAGGCTTCTCCGTACATCGCTCTTCTTTAACATCGCAAGTCTTTTGGCACTGTGATACAGTCTTCGGATCTTGTCCTGGAGCTTTACAGGCGGCACTTATCGCCCTGCATCGACTTGCAGCTCCAGGCAGCGCGTTGCTAAGTGCCTTGCTATCGTGTTGATGCTTTGCAGCACTTCGCAGGCTGTGCAGACATTGTTGCGTCGATCTCCTTGCGCATGGAAGATGCTGACATTGGAGGGAGAAAGGCCCTTTTGATGGCACTGCAGCAGTTACATGGCTGCAGCGATGCAGCCTCGGTGTCGTAGCCGTAGCCGCAGCACTATACTTGACACCGAGGCTATCTCCTCCAGGACTGCTGTTTTTTTGTAGATGATGCAGCTGATACACAGCCATTCTCTTTGTGAGGAAATCAGCCTGCCATCCTCGAGGCTGCCAGGCGATCGTGCTGGTGCTGACACATTCACTTCTATCTCTTCTCTTTTTTGACGCCAGGCGCCTGACCGACTCCAGCATAGAGGTTCGCAAGATGGCCTTGCGGGTGTACCCTTGTTGAACAGCGCGACAGAAGATGAAGAGACATGCTTGCGATTGGTTGCGGAAAAAGCCAAGGCTTGGAGCACTGGCAGAAGACTTGCCGCCCAACCTCGAGCGAGTGCTTGAGAGCAGTCTCCAGGCCGGCGCAAAGACGCACAGAGACGTTGTGTTTGAGACTCTGCCGCATTTCAGATCGAAGGACTCCCACGCATCGGTGCGCAAGACGGCTGTGTCGGCCCTGGAGAAGTTGGCCGCGAAGAATCCCTGGCTTCGAAGATCCTTGGAACAAAGGAAGAACTTCAACAAGAAGAGCGAAACGTTTGATCAATAAAGCGAATCTCTGCACTTTCCAAGAACTGATGCAAGCCCGAAATAACCCGAATGTCTTACTGAATGCTTATGACCTTCGCTGCTGCTGAGGTCTGCTACTGTCGCGTCTCGAAGACCCTGCACCCTGCGTGCAGTGCGCAGCGATTCTTGCGGCGGGCAGAATCTGTGACCTCGATGATGAGGCACAAATTAGTTCGGAAGTTCTGACTGAACTCTGCTACGTGCGGAAATGCAGGCCTCAGCAAACACACTAGCAGCGTGCTTGGACTCGAATGAGAAGATGTGCGAGGCTCGTTTGACTTCTGTGCACTCTTGACATCCCTCACAAGTCGAAGTTGGGGCCGTGCTGGTGCTGTGAGTATGTTGTATGTGTCCAAGCAAGCGGTTGGTTCATGTGCAGGCGGCCGCGCAGCAGTCCCTTGGATGGCTCTTGCAGCGCGGATCGCGAGCGCCACTGCCAGCGTTGGCACGGCTGCTTTGGCATGGAAATGAAAAGGCCTGCTTGCTTGCACTTCATTTCTTTCTTTGCACTTCTGCAGCTTGTATGCCGTTGCTCCGAAATGCTGTTTATTTCTTTCTACAGAGGGGTGCTGGGTGCTGGACCTTGTGCACATGCCCAATCGACCTGACACCTCCCATTCCGAGGGCGTAAACGACGTATTCAGGTCGCAACTCGCGCTACTTCCCAATCGGAAACCAGCACACAAGCTAAGTAAGGCTAAGGTTATCGCAACAGCATCTGAGCTGCAGTCGCATGTCAGCAGGTCCGCGAGTCAGCGAACCTCGTGCTTTCGCGACTGCCTCCTCGTTGAGGAGAGTGCAGCTCGGTGGGTGGGTGGGTGAGGCAGCCGCAAGAACCAACTTCTCTTTGCCTCGCGAGGGAGAAGTGGAGCCCAGCAACGCCTCCAAGCCGACCCTTGCGGTTCCCCCACAAGGTGTGGGCCGCATGCAGGGATGGTTCCACCAGTTCCAAGATCTCTGACACGTTCTTGCAATCATCTTTGATCATGAGGCCCCTTTGTTCTGCTGACCGGCAAACCCGTTTCTTTGGCACTGGTGCGTTTCACTTCTTTGGCTTGTGCCCATTGCAGTTAGAGTCGGCGTGGCTGGCATGCTTGTGAATTAGCAACACAGCAACTGCAGACATGCAGCTGCATTAACTCCGTTCAAGCTGTCCGTGCAACACATGTACAGAATGTGATGGCTGCGGAATTGACGGAGACAGGCTGCTCGCTCTGGGTAATGGTAGAATGATGGAACCGGGTAGAACAGCCTGCATTCTACACTCTGTTTGTCGCACCCACACAGAAGCCCAACAGTGGTTTCAAGCGAGCTGCGATAGAAATTCTTGCCTCCTTCTGCCGTCTGCGGTCTTGGCTCAGCTTCGCGGTGCACGTTCATCCAAGGTATCATGGAAAACCGAGACTCCGAGCTCATGGCAGGCTCCAGCCACAGCATTTCTCGATAGGACAGAAAGATGCTTAGAGGCATCGATGGGGAAACTGGGGACCGAAGTCAGGCGATTACTGCACGTGCCCAGGCAGAAGGCGGGCATCTTGATGTGTCCTGGCGCTTGAGCCTCGAATTCCCTGGCTCTGCAAAGGCCGTGCTCAGGCCGCTGCCGAGATTGTCGGGGCCTTGGTGGGAGGCGCCTAGGCGAGGGAAGCCGCAGAAGCTTTTGGTAAACGGGCGCTTTTATGTCCTTCTCAAGCTTTGCGGCTTTGCGTTTACAAATCTGCGAGGGCACAGACCTGACTAGTGAATCCTGCAAGGCCATGCTGCGTCTGGATTCTGGACTTCGATCTCCAAGACGCCAGGCCTTGAGAGTGTTGTCGACTTGATGCCTTTTGCTGCTGCGGGCCGTGTCTTCAGGTTGTCAGTGACAGCTCTCCGAGACGTGCATCGCCTCGTGCCGCTGCATCTCAGCTGCGCAGTAATGCCCAGTAGACACCAGAGAAGCCGGGATACGCGGAGACAAGCGGAGCATTGCGGAGCCCTGAGGCAACACCTACCTTGGACACCGGAGGGTTAAGCTCGCTCTCGACGTCTGCAGGTTCCGGGGCGTCGCTTTGTTTTTGCTTAGGACATCTTCATTTACAAGTGGTCAGGATCGGCGCTGTCATCGCCCTTGAGACGACCTGGGACAGTGCGGCCCAAAAAGTACTGAATTTTTTTAGTTGACACTCTCCGTCTGCGAGAAGCTTTACCAGATCCAGGAGTCCGGTGAGGGCCTCAAGCCCGACAGCTCCACGATGTTCCAAGGAGCCGATGGCTGACACCGAAAGCAAATCGTATCGCAAAGACTTGTTGTCGGCTTGAGTGTTTCTTTATTCCGTGTTGGCGTAAATGGGTTTCATCCCATTTTCGAGGAGTGCAAGCGTACTTCGTCGCCTACAGCTGGAGCGACAGATTCGAGGTCGGAAAAAAGTCGTTGTCATGTGCAGCACAGAGTTCGATCCAATGAGCCTCTTCTCGGGGAGAGAGTCGACTGGTCACCATGCAAGTGGCCACCCTCTGCACGCAGCTTGGCGAGCAAATCTGCGTGTGCATGCACGGGCATGCCTGGACCAAGTGTGTTCTCAACGTGTAGGGCGGGGGGCTGCGATGTGCTTCCGCGCCTGGCCAATTTCAAAATCGCTGGTGGGTGTTTGCGCTGAGGCTGGCCGTCCACTCAGCTGCCACAGAACGTAAATCTGTGGCCGGTTGCTGGAGATGAAAAGCCCAGAGGAGTGCTGTCTGGTGACTGGCGAACAGCTAGCGCAGAATTCCAGGGACGTTGCAGGTCGGTCACGAGTTATCTGTTTGTTGCCGGTAAGCTGCCCTGTCAGGACTGGACACCTGGACCCACCTCCTCTTCAGCACGGGCTTACGCTGCTCACCGTCCGAAATACCATACAAATGTCCCAGATGCTCCAGCATCAACACCGCAGACTCCTCATTTTGCCGCAAATGTGGTACACGGCGGCAAGAGGACTGGCACGTGAAAGATCGCCCCAACTCGCCCGGCCATCGCTCTCGGGCTGCTCCTTGCTCGCGAAGCATCTCGCCACGGGCCGGCACACGTGCTTCCACGAGGAGCCAAGTCGTGCTTTTCTAGTTTTGTGCGAGTGCTAAGCCTGCTGGGTTCTTTCAGAATTTTGTTGACATTTTTCGAGCACTGATGCGCTGCTTTTTGCATCCTTTTGTCTCAGAGCGTCCCAGCATGCCAGCACTTCGAGCACACGAGCCGGAAAGAGTCGAGCCAGGTGCTTCGAACGCACGGCCGAGGGCAGAAAGCGAATGCCCCTCCCTCTCGTCTCCAAACTTCTTGAGGGCTTGGTCACTGTTCGCAGGTTTGTAGCAGCTTCGGCTAAGTCGTGGTGTCACAGCGGCCCTGAGTGCGGATACTGGAAGCCTCCGAGGGGACACAAGCGGAGAACCGGTGCCCATGTGTGGTCCGCGAGACCGGCATATTGATGATGAGTGCTGTGCGGTCCAGAGGATCGGCTGCAGACAGATGCTCATGATGTACGCTGGTTGACTCTCTTCCCATTTCTCTCTCTGACCAAGCTATAGCTGCGCATTCCACGTAAATCAAAGACGAGGATTTTACTTTTTGGACTCTTTGGACCCTTTCCCAAGTTGTGCATGAAGCGAAGTGATGCTTCCGATTTTCTGAGCCGGCAAATTAGTTTTTCGCCTTCTTTGCCCTCCCCAGCTACAAGAACGCGACATCACGACGATTAAAGGATCACTGCAGGAAATAAGAGAAAATGGACATGGATGATGTCTCTGTCAGTGATCGTTAGAGAGTCCCAAGTGAAAGAAATACTGATGTGCTACTCTAGTATGCGAGTTGCTGTGCACTGCTTGCTGATACATAAGCAAAGCTACCATGAGGAGCACATCGCTTCGCCAGCGCGGCGTTCGGGCGGTCTCCCAACCGCAGAGCCCACGGTTGCACTCTGGTAGGAGTGGCAACAGGGAGAGACAAGTCAGAGGCAGCAACTCCCAACGGGCGATCAGGCCCGGGCCCTCACCGGGGCCCTCGCGGAAGGACCCAAAGCGGCCACACAGCCTCCATGGCCATGGCCACGGCCGCCAGCAGCTTCAACCACCGCTTGAACGGGCGACAGCGCAAGCAACACAGCTTCGGTCGGCCTCGGTGCCGAGAGCTGCAGTCCGTCCGAAGCTGACACCTGCGGACCTGGTACGACTGCAACGCGAACTTCAGGCTCAGATGGAAGCTTGGTTGAACACATGCCTTGTCAAGCTTGTAATCTTTCCTAGTTGTAGTGATTGTAATGCTTGTGATTGCGTGATGCCCGTCAGGAGATGGTCAGCAAGGCCTTGGCCACTGGACCGCCCGGACCACGTGCTCGTCCAGCAAAGCTGAGCGGACGCCAGCTGAAGGAGCAGGCTGCCGAAACACCAAATTTCCGCTTCTGATCCACCAGGAACTGAGCGGTACTCTGTTTTCAAGGCGGCTGTGTGCTGCCTATCATGTTGGAAGACAGGGGGTCTTGGTCTTAAGTTCAAACATGGGTTCCTCATCCAGGCAGTCTGGATTATTTGTGCCACAAACCTCAAAACAGGCCATCAGCTGGGTATTTTCTCAGGGCCAGGGCAACAACACCTCAAGCCCTTTGTCAAGTCATGTCAACATCTTCATCGTGTTCGAACGCACGCACAAGCTGAAAGTTGGTTGTGCAGGCGTTCCAGCACGTTGCTTGTTGTTTCTGAACTCAGACGCCGGTGTGGGGCAGTGGCAGTCTTGATGTCGCTGCTAAATGACACAGCCAAGACGTGTCCGACGAAGCTACGAAGTCCGCTTTTGGTCAGTTGCATTGCTACGGCTGTGATGGGCAAGAGCTGCAAAAGCAGCTTTCTTGCTTCATCTGAAGCCCAGCGCCTGCCGTGCCAAGAAATACGTGTGGAATCTATGTAATTCGACGTACGCAGTTATGCTGGCCGGGCAGCATGACAAGCCAGGGTGGCTGATCCATGTGCGACCGAGAAAGCATTTGATGGCCGTCTCGGCCAAAGTACCTGCCATCCCTTTCCTCAATCTTGGGCTTGGAGGCCTGATGCTTCAGGGAGGCACCTAAGCACCAAGCCGGCCCCGGCTGACCAGGTTGGGAGGTGCAGGCTTTGATGGCGATGATTGCGTCATCACCCCCAGGGCGAGTGTCGCCTAGCCGAGTGTTGTTTGCCTGCATCGATTCAGTTTGAGGCCCAATGCCGCCTGGCCTGGGCACAGCTCCCAGTTTACACGGCAGGGCTTTGACACCGAGCTTTGCACTTTGCACCTCTGTACTCCGGCAGCTGTCTAACAGCTCTTGGCTTCAGGTCCGGCGCGTCGCAGGCTGCGCAAGCCATGCCACAGGCAATGCCAAAGGCAATGCTGCAGTCGCTGCCTGAAGCACGATCAAGCAAGGCTGTGAACTTCGGTACACCAGACCTGAGACCTTTGTTCGTATCGTACTTCCATTTGATCCTCTCCGGTACAGCCAAAGGAGCTGAACAACTAAATGTTGCAAAGGCATTGTGAGTAGGCAAGAGCCATTGTGTCTTATTCCTTATTGCCTCGATGATCCAGACGAGCCAACTTCTTGCTTCGCTGAGAGACGATGTCGGCCATGCGCGGTTTAGTTGCTGGCCAGCTTCGGACAACACGCCCACAAAATTAATTGCAAAAAGGCAGCAATCTTCAACATGAAACTAAGAACAGCATCTTTCCAAAACCAGTTGGCCAAAATCCAACGACAGTTTCCCATGAGGCCAGCCGCACATGGGATGCCAGTCCACACCTTGGCCAGTGCAGCAACCCCGCGAGGTTATGGAATTGCCAGACTTTGCTTGTGTTGACAGGTGAGTCAAGTGCGTGCCCCCTGTGCTACATCGGGGGCGCCTATGTTCCAGCCTTGCATGATGACTGATCCAGATCGAAAATCATGGGCAAAGCGAGGTCCTTAACCGGGACTTGGCAAAACGTTGCAGCAGCCGGTACGATGCCAGCGGTGCAGGCAAGGCAGGTCTTGCCACAGCAAGCAAGAAACTGAGCCCCATCGTCGCCGTGCGATGATGAATGGAGTGGAATCGCTTAGGTGCCTTATGCGAGTGGCATGGGCGGACAGTTGCCCCCTGGAATGTTGCAGTCTTGGTTCAGCACGTCAAGCATCTGCGCAAGCTCCAGGTGTGTGTCTTGTCAGGTGGCCGCAAAACCCTTCAGCAGCTGTGCCTCTCGAAAGCAGCTTTTGCTGACATGAGCGCATGCAGAGACGCGGCATGAGACAGAGGCCGGTCAGACTTTTGGCTGGCACACCTTCCCTGTTAGTTGCGGAAATGTGGCAGTGAAGCCGAATTTGGACATCGGTTGTGCCAGGGTCATCTCCTGACATTGTCTTCAATCCTGGGGACAAGGTGCAGACGAAGACTGCTGTTTAGAGATGCTTGCACGGCTGGATCCCTGCAAAACAGGTGCAGTTGAGAGGACACGCTGCGAATCCCGACTACGAGGGCAAGATCTACACCGTGGAGGATGCTTGGGCTGGGCTCGCTGGGCTCCGCTGCTGACCAGGCCTTCCTGGATTTCATGTTTGCATGCCAGGGGCAGGACGAACTCGGAGTGGTGCAGGCTCACGTCCCAGTTGTCGAGCCTCACCAAGAAATCTTTTTGGGCAGGAACCATGCTTCACCCGTAATTGTATTCTGACTTCAGCAGGAAGCGGCACAATGACACACGTGCAGGAAATGCACAGTCCCAGATCGTAAGCAACGCTGGGGACGGCCCTTTGCGCTAGGCAAGCCTACAAGCTTTTGGGCAATATAGAGATAGAAGTTGTTGCCAAGTGAAAGATCCTGGTGAAAAATGCCGAAGATGGCACACTAGAAGTCCCTGGGCCAGAGCCCGAAGCTTGAGAAGGTCACGCACAAGGTCATGGAGAATGCTGTGTCGAGGCATATCCCTTGTGGTGCAAACGGATATGCCAACGACTTGCAAACGGCAAGAAGCAGCCTGCGCTCAGAGGATGTGTTTCAACGCAGCTCACCTGGAGCTGGTCACTGCAGTGGGTGACCTGCCACCCGAGGCGCTCTTTCCGCCTTTCTGCCTTTCTGCGATGTGTTTGTGTTCTTTTGAAGGAGCCAGAGATTGCTCCTGAGAGTAAGGCGCGCTCAGCGCTTGTTTGCTTAGGCACGCGCAAATTGCAGAGCTCTGGCGCCAGGATGCTTCGTGCTCGGGACTAAAGGTTGGTGATACCGCACGGGGCTTGGCACAGGGCTTCCGCGTCACCATAGTGTATCATAGCATGTTGCAGGTGCAGATCTCTGGGCTTGGCCATCATGACGGTCGGTTTTGCACTCGGCTTGGCGCTGCACATGACATTTCAAGAGCTGCTCTTGAAGCGGTGGCAGGTTGTGCACGGTGGTCTCAGCAGACGACAGGCAGGGCTGAACGAGCACCACAGCTTACCAAGAGAAGTGACGTGAACTGCGATTATCGCTGTCAGTTCTTTCGATGCATTTGATGAAGTCCAGAGCAACCAACTGTTTGCCACAACTTCATCTGTGAGGCAACCGATTATGCGGGTGAAGTTCGTGGACTGCCAGGACATGCTTGAGCTTGCTCCGTCGTCAAGAGCTGATTTTTGCGTTGCTGGCATCCCTGTAATAAGATACCGGCCCTCCGCTCTCGTCCAAGGTACCTCACGCTCATAGAGCCTGCGAAGGCTGAACAATCTCTCCACAACAGTATGCTGCTTGTGCTGAGGGTTTTGAGTAAATGAATCTGCATGTGGCATTGAGGCTTCGTCCGTGGATGCTTCGGTGGAGAGAGTGGGCGTCAAGGCTGGGCGGTTTGCGAACGCTATGTTGAGATTAAATGCATCCTGGGTTCCAAGCCCCGTGGACTGGAGCTAACATGCAGGGCGAGGGTGGCATAAAGGTCGGGGACCAGGCTCGCTCTCTGCGCGCTCTAAGCCCGACCAGAGCAGTCTTCTGTTGCTTCGGCAATACTTGACTATCCCGGAGGTGATCATTCTGGCACCACCACACCACAAAGGAAAGGCGGGGTTGTGGCGCTTAAATCCTGAATAAACCCTGTCTTTCGGCGCTGTCTTTGTTTCGACCTACTTAGAACTTCAGAACTGCATCCCCGTAGCAGCTCTTCCCCATCGGAATGGCTCATCTAAATCTGTGTCGCAACGTTCAATAAACTCCGACATGTCAGCAAGCGAGGCGTGTATCACACCGGAGGCAATTCCGCATTCCTAGCTGCGGGGTTGCCAGCCAATTAGCAGGCCAACTAGCCGCGACGGGCAGAATTGTTTCAAAGCATAGTTGGTTGGGCTTTATGCCTTGTCTTCCGCTCGACGCTTCTGGGAAAATCCATCAGTACCAGCAAGGTGCCTGCTCAGCAAGCTGGTGCAGTGCATAGGAAGTGATGAGCACCACCGTACTTCGCGAGGGGGATACTCAATGATACATGAATGGGACCCAGCATCACTTCCTTGCAAATGCCAGTGGATGCCATCACATACCGTCACATACCACTGCTCTCCCGGCAGCACCGCCAACGCACCACCGCCGCTGCCACCGCCGCTAATACCACCACCGCCGCCGCCGCCGCCGCCGCCACCGCCACCGCCACCGCCACCATCACCACAATCACCACCGCCACAGATCAGAATCTAAAGAAAAGGGCTACACTGTACAAAACAGGACCACGTACCTGGACCGTGAATCGTCACCCCCCGAAAAACTCCGTTCGGGCTGTGTGGCGTTTATCAAGATCTACTCGACACCGATTGCAACCTACAGCCTAGTCTTGTGCCATGGTGAAGGATTGTCGTTCTATTTGCCTCGGTACCGGGTTCAGCCACACTTTTCGCCTGAAGATCGAAGTCTTAACTTGCGTTACATTGCCAGCCTTCCAGCCCTTCTTGTCTACATGGTTTGGGGGCTTGCAGAGGCATCCCAAGAGGAGGAGATCTGTGCATTGTGAGAAGGAGCCAAGATAAAGGAAGAAACAGGGCAGGTAGATGTTTCTACCGATCTCACACTTGTGCCCGATAAGTGTGCATCTGAGGAGCAGCTCGCACCCTTAAGCTTGCCCTGTTCAAGTCAGGTTGGTGTGGTCGAGGTTCCCGACCTGGGCGACGGATCACTGCGAGTGCGAATGCAGGAGCTCTTGGGAAGCATATTTCGCCCAGCACATTTCGCACCGCTTGCTTCGGTTGGCCGTGTCAAGCACACGACTTGCTGTGCAGGGTCTTCGCAGTTGTCTCTTAGCTTCTCCGCAGGATCCTTCAGATTCCGCCGCCCGGCAAGAATGGAATGAATTCTGCTTCTTGCGAACGGCCGGAAGATCGTGGCAGTTGAGGCTTGCATCTAGCCACCCTGATGCAGGTCACCGTGCTGGTGTTAAGCCCGACGCATGTCCAGAATCCGGTCCTGCCCTGTGCCTTGTGCTGTCGTGCGAAAGCACAAGTCTGAAGGGATGCCAACAAGTGGATTGTTTCTTGAACAGGACGGCACAGCCGTAGCGGGAACTGCCGATGCGGTGGCCTCGCGGCAAGCACAAGCAGATGCGATCCGGCAGGCAGGAGTGGCGAGGTTTCTGTCAAGTCCCTCCCCTCCCCTCCCCT